TATTTATAATTGATGATTATCTACGATTAGAGGATGTTTTTAGGGCCTAAGGTATGGAAACCGTAGTGAAAACACAATGAAATCACAGAAAATATCCGTGACAAAACAATATGTGTCGACCCCAAAAGCCATGCGTCGATGCATGAAGGCTTTTAGACTCAGGATGTGTCGATACGAAGGAGTCATGCATCGATACATGAAGGCTTTTAGACTCAGGATGAGTCGATACGAAGGAGTATGTATCGATACATGCAGTGTTGCAGACCAAGTATGAGTCGATACAAAGGGAGTACGCATCGACTCATGTAGCGTGTTAAGTCCATTACGTGTCGACTCAAGACATTACGCGTCGATCCATGTAGTCTGGTTTTTGACAGAATCATTTTGAAAAGGCTGTAACTTGAGTTTTTGAACTCCGTTTGAGGTGTCGTTCGAAGCGTTGAATATCTAACACGATTAAATTCATTCTTAAGGATCAAAATGAAGAATAGGAAGGATAATCCTATTACCCAAATTAGGATTAGAGTTAGTTCCCGCGTTAATCGCCATGTTGATTTTTGTGAAGAATGATGAGGATGAGATGATTATAGATTACTGATTGGTTCGTAACAGCAAGATTAATGAGGATATAATGTAGTATTACAAAATGAATAATATGTGGAGGTTTGGTAATTTAGAAGTAAGCCTTAGATGATTAATTAATTATAGGCAATATCATGTTGTAGGCCTATGGCCAACATTGCGAGGTTTACGATCTACTGTTGTATTGTTGTATGGATGAGCTACCGTGAATTATGTTGAAAAATGACGTTGATGTACGATGTTGATAAATGATGTTTATGAGATTACGTTGATGAATTATGTGATGATAAATGATGTTTGATGAATTATGTTGATAAATGATGTTTGATGAATTATGTTGATCAATGATGTTAATGAATGATGTTGATGAAAGATGTTGAGATGCCTCTAATAATTGGAAGCTATTATGATGTAGGCTTTTGGCGAACAATGATGTTTTGTTCAGATGTTGTTAATTATGGTGTTGTCATTACATTCATGATTGTGTCGCATACATTGCATTTCAAGATGGAGCTGATGCTCGTTAAGATGGTCTGTATTGGCGAATATTAAGATAAAGGCTTATGCCTTGTTGATGCCTCTATTTACTGTCAATTATTTGAGATGGGAGTTCTGCTCCAATGGTACCACATGCATTTGCATAGTATTGAGTCGCATTATATGATTGCATAAATAAGTTGTGTATTGATGCAGTGAATGTGTATATCATTGGTATTTCTGTTGCGATTATTGTTGTTTATAAGATGAGAAGTGGTGGTGTTATGTGATCTAATTTAATATATTAATTATCATACGTTTTATTATATTGTTAGATATCTCACCTCTTTTGTTTGAATGTTACCCTTACGTTGGTAACATGCAGGTAATCCAGAGTGAAGGAAGTATACCTTCAGTAGTTCGAGTCGGTGTCATTGCTCTGATACGTAACACTCGGGGGGGTGAATGCTTGTTGCTTTTAATTATTGATTATTTCAGTTGTTGAAATTGTTATACAAAGATGTTATTATGATTTCCGCTGCGTAGATGTTCAAGTTGTTGAATTAAGAGATTAAATTATTATGTTGATCGTTCATCCTAAGTTTTAAAGTGTTATGTATCCACGCTGAATGCAATGTGTTTTTAAAGTTGAATTTGTGGCATACTGATTTAGTTGCATGAATTTTATGACTCTGATTTGCATATAGAATTTCTGGGTATAATTGGGGTGTTACACTTACCCTCATGTTATCTTTTCTAGGGTTGTAGGTAGCTCGTAGGTCTTACCCTCACGTTATCTTTTCTAGGGTTGTAGGTCGCCCGTAGGTCTTACCTGCACGTTATCTTTTCTTGGGTCATAAATCATACGCCGATCTTTACTCGTTGTCATTACCTTTCTCTTGGGTCATAGATCATACACCGATCTTTTCTCGTTGTCTTTGCCTTTCCTTTAGGGGGTCATGAATCTTATACGATATATTCTCCGTTGTCGTCGAGTTCTACACATCATCTTTAAGTTATCATGTTTCCATTAATCCTACTTTCAGTCACCATGACATCATCAACCATATCTTTTCAGTCATTTTAACGCCAACTTTCCTGAGAACCTTGTATTGGAACTATTACCCCAGTACAAGCTATCATTATGCAACCACGTTTACCCATCAGGATCAGTTCACCAGAAAATTCATTTTTCATCCCCACCAGACATCACAAATAAATAACACTCACACCATCTCTCCAGAACAAATTTCAGGTCTTGGTATTTAATCTTCTTCTACCTTAAATGATCGAAAGACTATCGCCAATCTCACTTTCAAGTTTAAGACGATTAAATAGGGGAAACTGTCATACCCCAAATTTGTCCTACCTTTTTCACTTTTACCTGGGTTATTTTTTGCATTTCATTTTCATCATTCTCGTTAGGTCATTCACACATCATTCCTGCATTTCAATAAGGCAATGGTTCAAAGCATCAGTGGTTGTGCTAATTAGGGCTTCACTTTGGTTTGAGTTTTCTTCATCAGATAAAGGAAGATTCATCTGGCAGTGGGCAGTGGAATCAGGTTTGGAAGTATGGTTGTCATAAGTTTCTGTACGCGGCCATTTCTCAAGATCTTAGATTAGGGTTTATTTCCTTATGGGTGATTAAAAACCAGGGTTTGTTAGCATCACGCCTCAACTAGGGTTTGAACTTTTCAAGTGTTTAGTATGGCTAATTATTGATTCTCTGAGGCTACTTCATGAAAGCTTAGCCTATAATCTCAAGAGCACAATCAAGACTTCATCATGACTAGTTCATAAGAGTATCAATATGCTTTGGAATGCGAGGAAAGATCAGATTTGCACATCAGTTCAAAGCACTTTGACTAAAAGTCAACTTTTTGCAAGATCAAGTTCAAACAATCATAACATCTTCATTATTCAATATTTTTGAATGGTTCTTTTTGTATATAACTCTCCTTGATACATCTCTAACTCCTCTTTACCAGTCAGGATCTGATTATGTGCAGAGGATCATCAAAATTCCAAATACTTTAGAGGTCATCCCGTGGAATTTGACCTAACTTGAAAATGGTTGTGCCCAACTTCCAATGATCATAACTTCTTCGATTCTCGACATTTTATGATGATTCTTTTTTCACATTGTCATAGAGGATGTCGTCTACGACTTTTCTTCAAGAGACCAAGGACAAATTATGCTTATAATACCTTAAAATTTATTGAATTATCATAGGTCATGTTTTGACTTAGAACATTCTTAACTTCTACTTTCAACTCATAATTAGTTCTTCAAAGGCATTGTTCGTTACTGTGGATTGAAGTATAAGTTGCAACTCATTTTGATCGGTGCAATTTTTGGTTTTTTTATCACATACTGGTGACTTCAATTAGCAAATTAATTTTAAGAATTATAAAATAAGGATTTGAAGTTTGTCATGTGAAATTAGTACCAAGTTTCTTAGGGTACACGTCAATTTAAAATTTGTTCATAGAGATTTGAATGGATTTGAGTCAAATGACATCAAGTGGTTAAACATTCATTTTGTGCAAGATTTTGATTCAAGTTGAGAATGAAATATCACATAAGAGGATTATTCAGAATTCGAGATTTACAAACTCAAGGTTCATTCATGTTGAATTAGTTCAAAGGCAAGACGTTCATCAAATTCATTCATGATTTAACAACTCATTCCATATGATTCTACCCTAATAAATTGCAAGATTTGAATCTAAAAGTTCAAAAGCTTGAATAGATTTCTCATACAAGGCATCACTTTATTCATGTTACAAGGGGATAATTTCAACTTACATCAATACCATGAATTTTTCCTTTTACACTTAAAATAACTACAAGAAAAGTTACATGTTTCTAAGCCTAATCCTAATGTCCTAAACATTTTTAATACAGTAAAAAACATGCTGTCTATTTCAGTCCAAAAACAGAACTTGCTGCCAAATACTACAAAACCATGCTGCTGCCCCTAAAATACTAAGCTGCATTACAATCCTTGTGCTAAAAATGTTGCCCAAAATGTTGTTGTCCAAACCCTGCAGTCCAAGCCTGCTGCTACTAGCCCAAAACCATGTCAAAAATAGTCTGCAATATTGCACCCTAAACCTGTAAAGTCCTGTACATATCATCCCAAAACAATGTCAGAGCAACCAGGCATAACCTGGGCTTCTTGCTGTCAAAACTTGCCCACTCCCCTCCAAAATCTGTAAACATTGTACACAAATAACACTTATCAAAACCTGCATCCCAAAAACAAAAATTAGCATGTCAAAATTGTTCAAATTGACCCAAACTTTCCCCCCAAAATCCCCATTAATTCCTCTATATCAACCATGCTCTGTTCATATAATTCACAACCTAAGACACACAGGAAAAGACACGCAAAAGAGGGAGGAAAAAATTCAACAAGAAAGAAAGACAGTAGAAAAAACCATTGTTTCATCACCTTTAATTCACAAACATTCAAAACTTGCATTATAAAACAGTAGCAGCTACACAAACCAGAATTTGCACAAAAGAGGAAAAGACGAGCATAAAACAATATAAACGACATACCTGAATAAGTCACTCGTCGGAATATCACCGGAGAAATTCACCTCTCTATCAGTAAGGTTTTATCTCTATAATATATCGTACTCGTTGTTTGTGTTATCATTGTTAAAATTGGTGATTGGAGATTATGATTCATCTTTTCTCTATTGTGTACTTAAATATTGGTAACCATGTTTATCTTATTTGCAAGTTGTTATCTCCTCGTTCGTTTGAGAAAGAATAGAAATCGTGAGTTTGAGCTTGAGAGAACAGAGGGAGTTTTATCGCGAGAATGATAAATCCTCAAGAGAGTGAGGGAGATTGAGACAGAGAGAGATGAACATGAAATACAGAGAATTGAAGAAGCCTCGAAATGCAGATCCTTGTGAAAATCTTAAATGGGAAAACCACCACCCTCGAGGTCGAGAGCAGCGACACCATCGACAATGTCAAGACCAAGATTCAAGATAAACAAGGTATCCCTCCGGATCAGCAGCGTTTGATTTTCGCCGGTAAGCAGCTTGGAGATGGGCACACCTTGACTGATTAAAATATCCAGAAGGAATCTTCTCTTCATCTTGTTGGATGTTAACTTTGTGGTGGAATCATTGAACCTTCTTTGATGGCTTTGTCGAGGAAATGCAATCAAGACAAAACCATTTGCCGCAAATGTTATGCTCGTCTTCATCCTAAGGATGTTAATTGCCGCAAGAAGAAGTATGGACATAACAATCAATTGAGGCCAAAGAAGAGAGACCAAGTTTTATTCGGTACCCATATCACTAGAGAGTGGGAGGAGATTTTAAGATGAAAGAAGGTTGAGCGATTGAGATGAGATGAGAGAGGAGAAGAGATAACTTTGTTTTTTATTATGTGTTTAATAGGGAAAATAATCTTAATTAAATTACAAATTAATTTCTTCCCCTTTCCAAAGCTCACACCAGCGGTGCTACATCTTCAATTTAGGGTTCCAAAAAATCTCAATCCCTTACACTTCTCTCATGGGCCTAACCTGAACCAACCTGTTTTTTTAGCCCAATCCGCTCTTTTGTTTTACTTTATATTATTTCTAAGTCGTAATAATATCAAATAGGTGCGCATGGTACAATGGTAGAAGCCTTGAGTGACAATTTTTCTCTCCTTTATCTTTTAAGTTCTTTTTATTTATTATTTGTCTTGTTGTTAACCATTAACAAAATTATTTAGAATTAGGATTTTAATTTTCTTTTGTTTTTTTAACTTATTTCATCACAAAAAACACAAAAATATTTAGAATTTAATTTCTTTATTTTTTTATGATAGCTTTGTTAATCTTATTAGCATTTTCCCTTAGATTGTTCCATGAGACGATTAAACTCTTTTTTTATCTCTTTGTGTTGAAATTAGACTTTAGGATCGAACTTTATACATAATAACAATTAGGTTTTTTCTAGTCTCCTTCTAAGACTCTTTCTTCTTTTGTAATTAAAATTAAAATTTATTTTCTTAATAAAAAAATCAAAAACACTTAATCATTATTCAAACTCATTCATATTTAACGAATATACTCAACAAATCAAAAATTCCATCAAAAGGGAATGTTATCTTCGTTCTACCGTGATACAGGACGTGCTTATTGCTAGAATGCATGCGTTAACGTCGCCCACTAAAAAAAACCAACAAAACAACATTTTCTAGAAGAACTACTGTTTTACCCCAAAATTTGCCCTCTCATTTTATCAAGATTTCCCCTCACAAGACTCTTTGAACTCAAGATCAAGCTAGGGTTTGCTCTGCTCAAGACATCTCCTTGCACTGTTGACCTGAAATTAGGGTTTGAGTTTGCACAAGGATTTTTGGACTTTCAATGCTCAATGTGACTTTCATACTTCATGTTGGACCTATAAGATTTCTCATACCAGGTTTCAAGCCTTGAATCACATTTTTTCCCAGTCAATTGGACAGTTGACCTAAAAATCAACTGTATTGAGGGAAAAGTCAACTGTGGCCAATCTACAGTAAAACCTCATGATTTTTGATCCACAACAACATTATAGGCTCATATGAACCATTTGATCAAGTTTGGACCACAACTCCTCAAGAAATTTGATCAGATCATCAAAAGGGCAAAATGGTCATTTTTAAGGTTTTGACTGCAGAAGGGCAATTTCTGATTTTTAACCTAGCCAATGGAAAATTTGGTTCAAACATGGATTCAAGGACTCAATGGAATCATCTTGACCTAATCACAAGGTTCAAAAGATCTCAATTGCATTTGATTGACAGATGAATTTTCAAGTCAATTGATCAAAAAATCAACTGTACACTGAAAAGTTAAACTTTGAATTTTTGGTCAAAATCAAGTGCCAAGGGTCATTTTTCATCAAGATATGTCAAAACATAAAACTTGTTCATCAAGAAACTTAATTTTGCAAATTAGGGTTTAAGTTATGAAATTTTCTTATTTTTTCCCAACTTTGCCCAACATTTTCACCATGATGCAATTGGATTCAAACAAAACTTCCAACAAGAAAGTTGTAGTCCTCCACAAAATCTACAACTTTTATTCACAAATTTTCCAAAAAGATGCTTGGATCTCAAGTGATGATTTTATGAATAAGGGTCCATGAAACTTTTAACTTAGTGAAATGTTGCCCTAGTTTAGGCAGGATTTTGACCTATCTTCATGGCAATTTTTCACATAGTTCCAAGTGGAATCTAAAAATGCATTTCAAAGATGGATTGTAGATCATGTTACAAGATTTACAAAATGTCCAAGAACTCTTCAAAATCATTTGTGGTTAGGGAGAATCGAAGGTTTGAATTTGGCAAAATGTCACTTTGATCCATGGCATTTTTCATGTTGCTACAAGTTGCAATTTCTGTCCAGCCTTGTTTGTACTTGTTTACAGGTCCTTAAACACTTCCACACTCAAAAATTGAATGCAAACACATTGGTTAGAGGGATTGTTCTGAGCTTTAGAAGATTACACAAGGGTTTAATCCATTTTTGGAAAAAAGTGAACATTTCCATTTACATAAAGCACAACTTTTGCCAATTTGTTTCTCTTGAGCATTGCACCAAGTCTTTTGCAGCAAACAACATCCACAAATATTAGGGAAAGTACACCAACTATGTGAATGCTTGGAGCTAGCCTGTACAGGCCTAACCTTGGTCACATCTCACCTTTCTTCAAAACCAAGTAAACTTGCAAAAACCACATAATTTTTGTATCTGATATAACCAAGCTTTGTAAACATTTGAACCAAGTTTTGCATATCACATTAAGTCAGAAGCACGAGCTAGCAAGTCCTGAAGCCTTCCAAAACACCAAAATTACATTTTTTTTGCAAAACAGGGCAACTTCTGCAGTTTGACATCCAAAGCAAAATCGACTCGTGCGTTTTGCTTGCAACCACTTCAAACACCTTCTAAACAACACACCTAAGCTATCCCAACCATTAGACAGCAACTGTAACCTTGTTTTCAAGCTTCACCATTTTTGAATTCTAACTGTGCAGGTTGACTTCTACAAGCTTATTCAGGCAAGTTCAAAGCTAGCTAAGCATTGGGAAAGCTCCAAGGAACTTCAAGCAAGCTCACAAGCATCTCAAGCCTCACTGAAAACCCCTGCATTTCCATACTCGAGCTTGACTGAAACAGGTAAAGTTCAAACTTCTATCTCTCTATTTAGGAATCATTAGGCTTAGGTTTGTGAATAAAAAATGTAGTACTCATTGCCCTTGAGCTGTACATATGCATAGATTTCATTTAAGTTAACTGAGTTGGGAGAATTTGAATGATGAACTTTCTGAAAAAACTAGGTTAGAAATTAGGGCCAGAGAAATTCTCTCTGGTCTTTGAGAGTTAGATTGAGTTCTTTACATGGTTGGAATCGTGTTTGAAAATGCTATAACTTTTATGTTGTGAGTTTTTGATTTAATACAAGAACAAGAGAGAATAGGATTCGTGTGTAAGAGCCATGGCACGCGCGTTCTGGAGGACAGGGATGAAGATGGAATGGGCTGGGCTTGACTTGGCCTTGTTGTTTGCACCCCCATTGTGCTTTCTGCACCACCTTGGCCCATTGTTTTTATATTTTCATATTTTCCATTTCTTTTTTAGTTTCTGACTTTATTTTATTTTTCTAAACATTAAAAATTACTAAAAATATTTTCTTAAATTTTCACATTTTATTTTATTATTTTTTCTATTATTTTGGCATAAGAATAGTTAAAAAAAATAATATATACTTTTATTTTCTTAAATAAGTTTGTAAATAAATTTAAAATACTTACATATTTTTTTTTATTATTTTATTTATACACTTAAATAAAATTTTCTCACATATTTTTATTTTTTTTAACATTTGTATATATTTTTATTCATTTTATTGTACATATATAAATAATTATAATATATATATTTTCTTAAAACAAATTAGGGTTTCCACCCTTAATAAAAATAAACTTCCTATTTTCTTATTTTTGATACGTTAAATAGTTGATTTTTTTACATACATAAAAATAAATACAAAAACATTTTGCATATTTATATTTATTTGCATATTTAAATATTGTCTATTTATTTATTTGCACAAAGAATTCAATATGGTTGTAATAATCTTAGGGTTTTATTTTCTTGCAAATATCCCCAATTCAAATTTGTATCCCCCTCCCCATAATCATGTTGTAATAGTCGTAGACTTACTTTTACGCTTTTATTGCTTTCAAATATGCCATGATAGAAAGATTAGGGTTTGTATGCAAAAATCCAAAATCAAACAAATAGCTTGACTAAACACAAGACAAAAAAATCATGAAAATGGTAACACAATGCACACAAGCACCCCTAGGGTTTCATCCACTTGTTGCCTTAAAAATATGGCCATGGTATGCATGCTAGGTATCTTGGCAAACAAAAAAAAACAAAAGATCATAGTCCCTCGATGACGCTATCTTGGTTGCCTATACAAAAATGATCTAGTCCCACAAAAAACTTGCTAAGATACTTGGAAATATTGTTATCATGGCCATACGATGACCCGCGCCTGTCCCGTTTAACATCCAAACACAAGGTTGTTTACCAAATACAATGGTAAAACAACAATGTCAAAGGGTTAAAAATGTGTAGGAAAGATCTTTTTAGTTAGGGTAGACAACTCCTAGTTACTTGATCAAACTTGCAAAACATCCTTGCTAATTTCAAAACACACAATTTCAAAACATTTTCCCAAAAAAACATTCAAACATTGAAACATATTTTCAAAAGACAAACACCTTTGTAAAACATTCAAACAAGAATTGTTATAAGGGTTGCCTAGACAAGCCCTCTTTTCAAAACATTTTCAAAACCACACACAAAGCACCATTTCAAACAATTGGAAAAGCCAAGCAAGTGATCTAAACAAGTAACTAAGAGCCCATGGATAACCATGGATGAAAAGGGTGCTAGCACCTTCCCTTTTCATAATCTACCCCCCGAACCCAAGAAAACATCTCAAAGGTCTTTCCTGTGCTTTTTGACCTTTCCTTTGGATAAAATAAAAAGTAGGTGGCGACTCTTGCTAAATCGAAACATTTGCAAACACAAACGCAAAACCTCAAGTCAGTTCTCCCACCGTATCACAACTACGTTGTTCTAATTCCTTCACTGGATACATAGGAAAAGGGTTGCGAGACCCTCACGAACGCAATAATAAAAAACCA